CTTGTCTCAGAGGGGACATTACCTTGTGTATAAAGGTTGTTTTCTGTGAACACAGCTCTGGGAAATGATGCGATTGGTGCATCACAGCCTTACCCTACTGGCACACTGAGAAAGACATGTAGGAGTAAGAGAGACTCATGGTGGACTATCTTTCAGTGATATCCACCTAAGTCTCACATTACATTAGTTTCTAGAAAATTTAGACACATCTAAATCTCTTCATTAGCCATTCTTATTTATCTAACAAAGATTGAGACAGAATACATTCAGTTTATCTAAAACATCATTAAATTAAAGATACTTCAGCAGAAATTTAAGCAGAAGCATAAAATAAATGTGTAGTATTAACATAATCATATTTCCTATAACCCCAGAGTCAGATGAGTGTGAGAGACCTGAGTAAAGACAATTAATATATATGGTTTTATGCAATATAACTTACATGAGAGATTTAGGACTTACATGCTACTCTTTGGTTTATCAAAGAGAGCCTAAAGGTCTACTATCATTCATAAAAGAGAAACATTCTATGTCCTCTTTCCCTAGACATGCGTATATAACCTGAAGGGGAATTTAGTTCTGTTTTGGAAACAGTGTGAAACTATTTACTTTGGCATTACACCACTTTGTTAAACTACTCTAGCCATTTAACTGAGTATTTTTATTTATTTTTTAATTGGGGAAAGAAAATTTCTGTCTAAGAGAGACAGAAATGGTCCCGAGTGTGTGACTCTGTTTGCAACTTTTACATGCATTCATGGACTAACCCTGCACTGCTCAGACATCATATGCAACATATTGCTATCAGTCAGATGGAGAAAATATTGTGATTTGTTGCTGGTTGTTTCATGAATATGCATGCATCCCACCCACACATGGAGATTGACTTGGAGCAAATGTTTCTTAATTTGTTCCTAACTGAAGTGTTTGAGTTTGGTTTTTAAACAGTTCCCATTAAGTGTGTGCATTTTCCATATTTCATTTATCACTATCCTGAGTCCACAAGATGGCAGCATCCTCTTAGGCACTCTGAGGATGGTTTCAACTTTTCCTTTGACATCGTGTGTGTGTGTGTGTGTGTGTGTGTGTGAGAGAGAGAGAGAGAGAGAGAGAGAGAGAGAGAGAGAGAGAGAGAGACACAGAGAGACACAGAGAGACACAGAGAGAGAGACAGAGAGAGAGACAGAGAGAGAGAGACAGAGACAGAGAGACAGAGAGACAGAGAGAGAGAGACACAGAAAGACAGAGGGGAAAGAGATCAGTGTAGGGGCTTGGCTTAGCTTGAAGGCTCAAAGAACTTCTTGCAATTTTGAGAACAGGTGCTTTTATTCTTGTTTCCTACAGGACAAGAATCAAAGTATTTGAAGAAGCTTTATAGAGTTTAAAATCAGAATTCTCAGTAAGCAAGAGCAAGATGATGAAGTCCTTCAGTGTCTTACTAGTGATCCTTTGGCTTCAGTTCATCTGTGAGTATGGGCATTTCTTTGGGAACTTAAAGTACAATATGCAAAATTGTTGTCTGTGCCAGCACTGTGAGATGAATATGAATGATTTTATCCTCTAAGTAAGGGAGGTTGTGAAAGCATTGAAAAGATAATTTCTAGTCTGGAGAGGAAGCACCCACTATGCAACCAATCTTCTTTGCCTGTTGTATTTTTGCACAGTGGTCAGCGGCCAACAGAAGGAGGTGGAGCAGAGTCCTGAGTCCCTCAGTGTCCCAGAGGGAGCCATCGCCTCACTCAACTGCACGTATGGGGTCAGCAATTCTCAGTACATCTGGTGGTACCGACAGTACCCTGAAAAAGGCCCTGAGTTGCTCATGTCTGTATACTCCCGTGGTGACGAAGAAAAAGGAAGATTCAGAGCACATCTCAACAGAGCCAACCGATATGTTTCCCTGCACATCAGAGACTCCCAGTCCCTTGACTCAGCCACCTACTTCTGTGCAGTGAGCGCACAGTGGTCCCCAGGCACCTGCAGCCTGCACCCAAACCACAGAGGCTCAGGCAGACCTGAGGCAGAATGGAGATCACAGGGCAGAGAAGCTCTGTTCCTGCTCCAGATGCAGTGGGAATTAAGGACAACAGTGGGAAGGGTTTCATAGTGTAGGGTAGTACTTTTAACAACTGTTAAAGTAACTAACCATTAAGGGGAAGTTTATACCCATGAGACTGTCACCGTAAATCATCCCAGAAACATGACACTTGCCTATAGATGTTTAAAATTATTCTAGTTAAAAATTATTTATCTAGTTAAAAATTAATTATTCTAGTTAAAAATTATTCTAGTTAAAAATTATTCTAGTAGAGCTCCTGCTCCATCTCAAGTAGCCATTGATAGCCCTCTCCTAACTCTGCCACAGCACGCTGGCTATTTTCCCCACGGTGAGACTCATAACATGCAGCTGGGGTTTTGATTTATGTGTCAATGTGTTGAGTGATAATTCCTCCAGTTATATTAGGAGATTTATGAGACCAGGAGTTTTTGTTTGTTGAACTCAAATATTTATTCTTAGTGTTTTTAAACTACTGAGTGCCCACTTTAGTTCAGAAATATCTACTGTAGGAATGAATGTATGTTGGTTGGTCCCTCTGTCCTCTCCGATCATTCCTCTCATTCTCATCTTAGCATGTCTTGCCTAGTGTGTGACGTCTGCTTTATTGAGGAATTGAGCTCAGTTTCCCTCAGTGATTTACCCCAGACTCAGACTGCAGTGTTCCTGTGCTGAGGGGCCACTGCCAAACAGATAGGAATTATCAGGGTCTCAGCCTTCTCTTCCTCAAATGAACTCACCTCATCAGAAGGACTGAGTCAGCTCTCAGGAAATTTCAGAGAGGAGGAAAAAAAATAACAAAAAGATGGAGAGGTATAAAAATTCTCTAATCAATTAATTATGAAAACTTGCCCAATTGTGAAATAATAATTATGAAAACCTGCCCAAATTTTATTGCAAAACACAGCAATGGAAAACTTCCTGGGCAACAATTACATATAATTATTTTTGGTACATGTTTTATAGGAGTTGAGATCTTGAAAGGACAGGATTTGAAATCACATCATTGCTAATATGTCAGTGCTCTCAGTAAACACAAGCCTCTGAGCCAGAGGCAAAGCACTTTATTGCTAAGGATACAGCAAGTGACATAAACGCTGGTGCCTTTTTTCAGTGTTTCCTTCCCTGATGTACTGAAGGAGATACACTGTGTGTGGGCAGATGCTCTGTCTGTAATGATGTGTGTCACATGGAGAACTGTGAGCTTGTGGAATATTCTGCTTTAGTCCCTAGCAGTGAGCATGCTTGCTTCTTGTCTCTGAGGGGACATTGCCTTGTGCACAGAGGTTGCTTCATGTGAACATATCTCTGGGAACTGATGCAGTTGGTGCCTCACAGCCTTACACTACTGGCACACTCAGTAAGACATGTAGAAGTAAGAGAGACTCATGGTGAACAATCTTTCAGCAACATTCACTTGAGTCTAGCATTGTGTTAGTTCCCAGAATATTTTCAAATAACTATATCTCTTCATCAGTCATTCTTATTTGTCTAACAATGGCTGAGACAAAAATACATTCTGTTGATCTCAAACATCATTAAATGAAAGTTACTTCAGCAGAATTGTAAGCAGAACCATAAAACCAATGTGAATTATTAACCACAACCTCGTTTCCTATAACCTCAAGTCAGATGACTGTGAGAAATCTCAGAGTGAAGACAACTAGTATATATGATTTTATGCAATATAATTCACATGAGGGAGATGGGACTTACATGCTACTATTTGGTCATCAAAGAGAGCCCAACGTTGCACTATCATACCCAAAATAGAGATAGTTTACATCCTCTTTCCTGAGACATGAATATATAACTTGAAGTGGAATTTTTTGTTGTTGTTGTT